CCCTGCACGGTATAGCTCATGGCTTCACTGAGTTACGCAAGCCCCTTCGCCACGACAAGGCAGTGATCCATGAAGAGGGGTGAATACTAGTCAGCTACTATACAGAGCTGACTCTGGAGTGGCTGCTGTCAGCTGTGACATACTTCCACCAAAAGCTACAGTTGAAGTGTGGTCATCTCCCGCTATAATCCTGAAACTTTAGAAGGTCCACACCATTTTGAGCTGTTAAATTCAGCAGGACTTTCCTTCTATAATGCTTCTTAATATTTTTTTAAAAATAATTAATCTCATTATTCCAGTGAAATATCCAGAGGTTATTGGCAAATACCACAATTAGATATTGAACAGGCAAATCGTGAATCTAATACTAATATTAAGAGGGGTCATTCCTTTTGCATTTGACGGTCAGTGAGGCAATGGGCAGGGGTCAGGGTCTGAACACATATTTGCATATGCACCAGCAGGTAAACATAAACTCTGTTCCCCTTCAACCACATACCCATACTTTCACTAGTATACACATTCATGCTTTCTTATGCATGCACAAAAACACAACTCATCCATAGATACAACAACTTAAAGTAATCTCAAAAACATCCGTGTCCCTGGGCGTGAAAGTACAATTAAGACTGCTTGTTTGTGATCTCAGATGTGTTGGTAGTGTTTTCCTCACACCTCTGCTGATGAGGGATAAACTGGGCAGCAAGGAAAAGCAGATGAGAGCTCCCCAGTGCGTATAGGTTGTGTCTGAGGCTCAGCTGCAGGCGACTAGGCTGTGGGTTATCCATCTATGAACTGTATGATTAACTACAGATGTTCTTTGCTCCCACAGCACCCTGTGCATCACCAGATCAGATCTGGAGGACTAAGGAATCTTCCAGGACAAGACAGCAGTTCACTTGTAGAAGCAGAATACATATTAATCTGTATATATGTTATCTGTCTATATTTGAAAAATCACATAATTTCCATCTCTTTCACATATTTTTACAGTCAAAAAACAATTTCCCTGAGGAAATTGTTTTGTTTGCATTTTTTACTTTGGCATGGATAATGGAATACCTCTCCAGTGTGAAAATTTAGAAAATTTGGCTTTCATCTAGTAAGAATCATGTTGTTTATCCTGAGGGAGGGAAATACGCAAGTAAAAAAAAAAAAAATCCACAGAGTGAGTTTCATGTTAAGATTATATTTAAAATAAAGGATATGCTTGTTGGATGTATGCATTTCTGTGCTTTTCCTTACCGTGCTGTAAGTCCAGTGAGAATCTATGCAGTCATTTGTTATTCCTGAGCAGAAACATGCCTCACAGCCCTGGGGGTTGTCTTGCTGCAAGTTGAAGAAGCCTGGTTTACAGCGATCACAGTTCCTTCCTTCAACATAGACCTAGGAATTCACAGGAGAATATTAGATTTTCTGTCATGCAGGAAAAGTAAATCTAGCTGCCTCTTGTTTCTTTTGCTTTGTTTAATGCATCATGAATATATTTAAAGATATATTTCTGTCAATAGGCAAGTTACAAAAGATCCCAAATTATATCCCAGAGGACATCTGAGTGCCCCAGCCACCACTTTTTAACTAACTATCATTCTGATTGATCTAAGCCAAGAGGAGACCACCACCACATTCAACATTATGACCAACACAGGATATCTGGTTTGCCTATAGATATATTTATTGTGAAGCAGGAAGCCACAATCCTAGCCCCTTGTAGTGTGCATAAACTATACCAGCATTCCACAACATAGTTTTTGCCAGGTGTGCTAAGAATTCTCAGCCAAAGCTTTTGGCACCAAGCTGGGGAAACCTTGTATATACAGTATAGGAACCACCTCACTATCTTGATCTACTTCATTTTCAAAAATGTGTAGGCTGTACTTTCATTTGTCTTCCACTGAAACAATTGCAGACCATTTCCAGTAATACAGTCCTTGCTCTACAGTCTGAAAATGTTTTTAAAGAGGAAAGAAGGTGATAGGAACATTGACACTCTAGTGTGCAGTTTTGTTATGGTGAGCTGCTTTTATATATGTTGCTTGAACAGAAATGCAAAGGGTTAAACCATATATTTCTTTGAAGAGATAGATGCTATTTTTCCCTCCTGTATAGTAAGTGCAGGGATTTGCCACGGGCTATAACTCCTTCTTCCTGCTCTGGTCCCAATTTGGATCACAGTTTTTATGCCATAATGTCACTCTACTCTCCAATTCAGCCAAGAACGGATTATTTTAGAAAGATGTTCATCAAAAATATTGTGCACATTATTATAATTGCTGCAGTGTGCTATGCCAAGTATAGTTGACTGCAGGCCAGCGAAGGCTGACCCTCTTATGGAAATCATGGTTCTCTAGCTAAAGCCAGCATTGTGATCTCTACTGATATACATCTATCAAAAATAATTCACTTGCCTTACAGCCAAAGAACTGGATGAATGTACAGAAAGCAATCCTAGAAGTATGTGTGTGTGTGTGTGTGTGTGTGTGTGTGTGTATGTATGTATGTATGTATGTATGTATGTATTTCACATATAGGGCCACTCATCTACCAAAGCCATTGTGGGATGTGAACAGATTAAAAACAACAATATCAGAATATATAACATAAGAATAATCAATTTGCGACCCCTAAAAAAAAATCTCACTAGCAACAGACACACTTGAATCTACTTCAGATTAGCACCCTGGGCCAAGTGCCTAGGGAAGAGCCAGGTCTTCATGGCTTTTCAGAGGGCCAAGGAGGTTGGGCCCTCTCTGTTGTGGGGATAGGCTGAATATCCTCCAGGAGTATCTAAATGCCAAATAGCTGCAATTTTGAAAAATATGCATATATTGTACACTTCCTTTTAACCTATATTCTGCTCTTGAGGGGAAATTACAAGTATCCCATTTTTACAAAGACTTTATCTCTGTGGTGAAGGTGTTCCTGAAACACTAGCCTCCATTCTTTTATATTGTTCCTGTTACAAAGATGTCTGATTTCAGCTAATAATACCACATCTAGTCAAATTTCCAAGCTGCTTGGATCCACTTTATTTGCAAGTGTTACTTTCTGAACTAATATGTGATTTTATCTTTTTTAATGTGGCTAAGTTTTGTTTCACTGTTTGTAAAATACACCACACCTTGACAACACCACTTTTATAATTATTTGGGTTGTACTGCCTCACAATTTGTTTTCTTTCTGTTTTTAAGCTGGTCTATGACTGTAACAAAGTACCTATCTATCTCACATTGACTTATCTCACACTGGAATAGTACTGAGGTGTTGTAATATGTGAAATCCATGTAAAATTGCTTCTGTCTGACACTTTCTAACTTTAGCATACTAGAAAGGCATCTGGATAGAAATGCATTCTAGGCTTTTTTCAGTGGTTTATATTAACCATGGCCCATACCAGACCATTCTTATTAATATAATGCCCCCACTCTCCTGGCCTTCTGAAAAGGTATAAAAACATGGCTATGGCAGATGGCCTGGGGACCTGATGGGGGCTTGCATTGCTGGAGTTGGCCCGTGGGATGATTGATACTGCTTCTCCCATCTTCTTGATTTGTATCTTGTTTTTATAGATTTGTTGTTTGTGTTTTCATCGGGGGTATTTGTATTTTTATATTTTTATTGTCTTCGTTTTTAATTGTAAGCTGCCCAGAATCACCCTCTGGGGGAGATGGGCAGCATATAAATTTAATAATAAATAAAATAAATAAAAATAAATATTGTTTTGTATTCATGATAAAGTTGTCCATGTTGGTTTGTTTGTTAGATTTATATCCCACCTTTTCTCCAAGAGCTCAGAGTAGCTTACATAAGGATTTCCCTTCATTTTATCTCCTCAACAACCCAGTGAAAGAGAATGACTGGCCCAAAGTCATCCAGTTTACACAGATGACATAGATTTGAATAAATCAGGTCTCCCTGATGCTGGTCGAATAAATTATGTATTCATTTATTATTTAAGAAACTTATATGGCCACACATTTTATATATAATAACCTTGGGCAGCTCACAAAAACAGCCATAAAAAACAAAAGGCAACAATAAAACAGCCTGTGTCAATAGGCTTGGGGATCTCAAAGAAATGGTGAATTGATGAGATGACTACATTGTCTGTAACATCAAAGATGCTCTCTCCAAGTCTTAATAATATTGATTTTTTGTAAAAAAAAATATGGAATGTTTTTAACCTTGTTCACTTTATAGCTTCTGTTTTACTCTACGCCGCTCAGAGTCATATATCTGAGGTGCTCTCTGAGCTTGGTTGTTTGCTTGCAGATGTTTCGTTACCTGACTAGGTAACATCATCAGTGCTGGTGAGTGTGGGGTTTGCTCCCTGTTATACAATAGCTTGCCCTGCCAATGTTGATGGGGGTGCGGTTTTCTCCTTGGTAGTTCCTTGATTAGGGTACTGTTTTCTGCTTGTTTGTCTGGTGTTAATCCCTACTTATCTGAGTGCTGACTGCTGGAAAGGATGTGTTCTGATCTTTTTGTTTCCTTCTTAGCTTTCTTATTGTCTCTTTTGAATAGTGTATAAATGTGGTTTATCTCTATGTGTATATTTATGGCTGAATCAACAGATATCAATAGACACATCGGTCATCAATAGGCATATCAGCCATCAGTAGATGCATCAATAGATATAGCCACCGATCAACCACATTTACACACTAGCAGCTACATAAATATGATAAAGAAAGAAAGAAAACCAACATCAGAGAAAAACAACCCCAATTGTGCCAGAACCATTCTCCCATACATTGACATTTACATCTGCTGGGCTCCAGTCTCACACTAGCCCAATGCTCAGGGCAAAGGCCAGCTCTTCAAGGTCTTGTAGGAGGGTGGGGGCCTATTATGAAGAGTTTGTTTCTGTTACAAGTTTTTCTGTCAATATTTAGGTGCACATAAACAAATGAAATGATGAGAAACAATGATTTTTTATACTCTCAAATATTATCTGTTTTATGTAAAACCATTATTTGGGGGGAAAAAAGCTGCTTTAACAAAAATAACTTGCTGGCATACTTCTGAGTAACTACTTAAGATTAAAAGATCAAATCCACATCAAAAGGACTTCAAGGGGCAGTGTCATATTTTGATACGCTGGCACCTCCAGAAGTACTTAAAAGAAAGAGAACAGGTTACAGATGAAAAGTTTATACTCACTAAACATTAAAAAAATAAAAAAAAATTGCAATCCATACCTTGCATCTGCAGGGTCCTTGACAAGGATCATCATTTAAGCTGCCTTTCAGAGAGCAATTGCAGGGCACACAGTAAGGAAAGTCTTTGTAACCCAATGCACACCGATCACACCTCTCTCCTCCAAAACCTGGTTTACAGTGACAAGATCCAGGATGCATACCTGCAGCAAGATCGAGCCAGCACCAAGTTCAACCTTATTAATGCAAGGGAAACTGAAATCTAAATGATTTGTAACGGGGAAAGTTATCTAAGTGTGGAAAATCAGGATCTAAATCAGATTCCTTTCCATCATGTTTAATTGGTGGGGGGCGGCCTCTCAGAGGATGATTTTGAACAACTGGCAATAAAAAAAAAATGAATTTAATGGCATCTAGCAGGACATTGGTTAATAAAAGGAGCACTAGGCTCCAGCAGTGACGCTGATACTAATGAGAAACAGTTACTGAAATAGGAATTCTTAGAAACAATACTGACATCATTGTCTTTTTCAACCCTTCTGGATAGTACAAACAACTTGCAGGCATGGTGCCTGCCACATGCAGTCTGGTCCTGCCTCAGCTGACATCTTCTCTCCATTGCTAGGCAACGTTCTCTGGTTCCTTTATTGCTTTCCCACATTTTGGGTCAGATCGAGTGTAGCGTGCTGTATCTGGGTCATTTCCTCTCAAAAAAGCAGTAATGATACCTTCCTATGTCTTGGACATGGAAGACCCTTCTCCGAACTTTTAACATGAACATACTTGAGCTTTGATTTATTTTTCCTTTGCCACAGTGTAGTCATGTGAGATGCTTGTTAATAGCAGTATAAACTTTTATCAGTATAAGAACAGCTTTTAGTTTCTTGCCAGGTAGAGGACAGTGAGAAGTTGATGCAGCAGGAGACATGCGGTAGTGATTCAAGCAGTGCAAGATCAAAGCTTGGAAAATCCTTATGTCATCTAAATGACTACGTTTATCTATACAACTAGGTCCCGGCCAGTCTATGGATTCTGACTTTACATAAACCTGCTGCAAACACAATAATGTAATCCTTTCTTTATTGCAGTGATAATGGTACTGATAATGATCCTAGAGTACTTTGCTGCCATTATAACTGCATCCCACAATCCTCTACATTAATGCACAGAAAGACATGAGGTGTAAGCTTTAACTTGGCAGAGAACCATTTAATATCATCCCATCCCATTATCCTCCAGGAACAGAGTGTTCTTATTCCCCTTGGGCTGATAATTCAGAGACAGATTTTATTTCACTTCAAATAAACATTTTTACTCACTGAAAACTGCAAGCACACACAGTCAATTTCAGTACACCTAATATACATTCATACCAATTTGCAAATACAAAAATAAAAGCATTTTCCAGCCCTTCCTTCAAATAAGGACTAACTTTTTCCAGCTTATATAGATTGAACAAAATTGGGGTTTTGGTGTTGTTTTTTGGGACATATGATATGGACAGCAAGCATTTATCCTTACTTCATTTAAGAAGTCTCTAAGAGTGATTCATTATTAACAGTATAGTGTTGTTTCTTCTTGTTCCTCAAGTTGACAATACCATTTTTTAACTCTCCCTCCCTGAAAGGGTTCAGCAAATAAGCAAATGAGTTTTTATTATAGGTACTAAAGCTAAATGTTTTATTCTCTCTTAAAATAAATCCCCACTGTGTACCTTCATACTGGCAGAAGGACATTGTCTTCATGTATTAAAGAGGACTTTCCATCTAATATATTTATCAGACTCCTGCTTCTTTTGCACTTTTCCCTTATAAGTCTTTAGAGCATCTTTTTAAATTTTCCATATATTTGCCTATGTGATCACATCAAAGAGATAATAGAATCAATACTATTCTATTCAATCTGCCTCACAGAAAAATAAATTCCTCGTGAGACCTGTAGCATCCTTACCTAATCTAATACTAGCAACAACCAACCTTAAAAAATTGCTCTCAGTTGTTTCAGGCCACAGTACAAACTGTGTGCAGCTATCAGAAACACCACTTAGATATTACTAAGACTACGGTATAATTTTATGTAGCTAATAATGTGTCATCTCACAAATGGTCTTATTCTGGTTTTCAAGTGCAAACAAGAATGGAGAAAATAATATTGGGGATTTGAATTATAGCTAATTGCCATCTCAAGAGAAGAAATATTGCTCTTGGCAAAATGATTTTTAAAAAATTCTTTAGAATGATGTAAATGTATGGTTCAGATGTAGAACTATTTTCAAAAGATGATTGTGCACTGCACACCAGGGGAAATATATTTTGTGTGTGTTTTCATAGAGGTCTTTAACAATAGCTTTCCAAAAAATAAAAAGGTAAGATGGAGAAAAGAAGAAAAATTAAAAGTCCATTGGGAAAAGATTTCCACCTCCCTTTGCAAATGTCACAACATAGCAATACCAAAAGAAAACATGAGAGACAACAGCTTGGGTCTCTGAGGGGAGGCTCTGCAGGAACAGAGGCAAGCAGATTTAAAAAGGCCTCTTGCGGGATGATGTTTATCAGAGAACTAGCATACTGAAAAGACGCTACTGCTTAACATTAATTTAGAAAATGTGGGAAATAATGCTTAATATCAGTCAAGCATCTCACCTCCTGTAGCTTGTTTTTCATCCTTGACACAAGTGCCATCTAAAGAGCCCTTAGAATAACAGTGACATGGCTGGCATGGCTGGTGATCCCTTGGATGAAGCTATGGAAGCAAAATCAAAGCAATGAAGTGATCTGCTGACCCTCCTGATCACGCAACTTACCATAATTATGAAGCTCAAGCACTAGCCTATACTTTGTTCCAAAGCGTAATAGATTCCATGCCTTTTCCTATTGATGGTTTTAATAATGTGACATGGACTTACTGACCAAAAATGGGATTTGCAAATTTACATCTTTATCCATTCAAACTGAATTAATAGCAGAAGTCCTGTTCTTTCATTGTGTCCCTTTATGTCAACACAATTTATTTTTATAATCCCTATGAAACTCTCCTTTTGTTTTCCCACTGTGAAAGACAACTAGTAGGCTATAGGGATTAGACTAAATACAATTCACAGTGTTGTGTTTTTTCACTTAATAAGGTAGCATCTGAAATGATGTTTTGGAATTCAAAGGACAGAGTTATGAATCCTTTACCCCTTTTGGCCTGAAGTATCCATCAATGCATGTCTCACAATTGATGCCCGCAGTGTTCTGAGTACAGTTAATGCATACTCCGCCTCCAGTGTATTCTCCATGGATATTCAAACTCTGCTTTCTGTCTGCCACAGTCTGGTCATAGTAACATTCTTCTGCCTTCCCATGGCAGTTGCAAGCTAGAGAGAAGGAGAAGTGTATTAACAAACATCACATCAGTCTGCAAGCATGTAGAAACATTTTTTTCCTAGGAATTAACAATATTCATTCATTGTTTTGATGCTAGCGCAGCAGCGATTTTCAACTCTTTGAATTAATAAGTAGCCACTCACAAATTATGCTGAGGGATTCATTTTACTATTACATTTCCAAATCATCTGTTAAGAGAAGGATCTTCAATGCCTTTTCCAGACCTTGTCCTCTGACAATACCGAAGTACCATTTTAAAATCTGTGTAGACTTCCAACATTTTCTAAGTCACTGTTGAAAAAAATGTTACTATTGGAAGGCTATTATTTATGGAAATGCTCCTGGTACTCCAGAATGATGGCACCTCATTTATTCTGGCCTGTTATAAGCTATTATGGCCTACAATTGATTTTAAACTTATACCATAAGAAATGTGTTAGTTTTCAAGATGCTAAGACTATCTTGTTTTTATTACAACATGCTAACATGATTAGCTTTTAAAAATAGTCATTCACTATTAGTTGTAAGTTGTATTTACTAGGAACTTGGTTATATTAACACAAAAAGTTAAACAAACTTAAAGGGATGCAATCCAAACAAATTAACCACTAGTATGTCCCATTATTTTTAATGCAAATATGTATTTAATTTATCCCACCGAGATAAATGTATTGCACATATTAAAGTTAGATTAATCCTCAATAAAATCTATATACTTTCACAGTATCTACAAACATGACATCACCATCATCAAGTATGTGTAATTAACTGATCTCATTATCTGGTGCAATTATAATTTAAAATCTTTATTTCCAATCTCAATCTGCTTTTTCCCCTAAGAACCATAGAGAAACTCATATATAGTTTTTTCCAATTTCTCATCCAAATCACATGATGATCACTGATGGATATTTTTGAAGCAGAACTAGATGTGACTATATCACAATGAATATACAGGTAAGCCCTTTGGTTTTGATGTATGTTATAAATCACATCCAATGAATTATTTCTATTACCTTCACATTCATGTTTTACAAGAAAAGTCCCAGCTTGCCAACGTCTCTGATTAAATCCAGGGCAACACCGATCACAGCTTTCTCCACAAGTATTATGTTCACATGCACACGAAGATCTCTATTGGAATATGATAGGAGAAAAATAGAATAGAACAGAACAGAACAGAACAGAACAACTATAAAGCTGGACAATCAGAAAATATAAAACAGTGCCTTGGTAACATACTGGATGAAGCCATGATATGCATGCAGACTATGATCCCATCAAGATATCTGATGGATCAGCAGATTACATGGTTCTATTTTATCCTATCCTGTCTTTCTCATGTATTCCATTTCTGCCAGAAAAGAAGTAGCTTTTCCAGTAGTGGAAGGGCAAATACCAATACCAATACCAATACCAATACCAATACCAATACCAATACCAATACCAATACTTTAATGGCCAAGTATAAAACATACGCAAGGAATTTATCTTCGGTGATAACAGCAAAATCAACGGTAATCTTGATATAACCCATGTAAGAT